ACAGTAGGTTTAAAACGAAAGAATTTCCTCATTCCAACAACCCACATCTCGTTAGAGTTCTTTGAGGATGCTTTACACACTCAATTTTGTTAAATCTTGCGCAACTTTGGTCATTTGCAGATTTTGTCTACACAAGACAAACCTAATTCATGTGTCTTTTAGGTGCTACAGAACAAACTTTACATTAGTCGTAGTCTTAAATCATTGCAAGGGATCACTGGCCTGATCTCTGTAGGAATAAACTACCGCTATAGAAGTGCAAAAGACTGGAAACTGCGGTGGTCGTTTGTGACTCGACCAAATTAAATAAGGTTTTAATATTAATCACTCGTGTTTTCAGCGATCTTTCCTTACCATATACACCATCTTTTGCTGTTAGTCATAACCCAAATATGCAATTTAAAACTTTTCTTTTCAGTACTTCGATACTCTGAATGTGTGATATTATTTTGTTTTAGATCCCTGCGGTACGCCATGGAGTCGATGAGCTCCACTCATTTGCTGCCTCTGGAACTGATTGACAAATGTATCGGTTCTCGGATCCACATTATTATGAAAAACGACAAGGAAATGGTCGGCACTTTGCTAGGTTTTGATGGATATGTCAACATGGTTCTCGTTGATGTGACGGAATTTGAATTTACTGCCCAAGGAAAACGAATTACCAAGCTGTCACATATTCTGTTGAGTGGTAGTCATATTGCTATGATGGTCCCCGGTGGAGAAGGACCCGAAGTTTGACATTTTTATTCTCAAAACTTGTATATATATATGTGTAAACATTGTGTATGGTATACCTTACCACGCTTTACTTTCTTAATGGGATTTCTGGGTTTCCAATCTCTTCCTTTTAATTTAGTCCCCCTGTTAGAATTTTTGGTCTATTCGTTTTGCATATCGAATAACTGTAAGAACTGGCTGACGAGTTCTCGTGTAACTGTAGATAATCCTGGCCTTTTCGTTTTGCGGCTCGAATAACTGTTAATAATGCAATATTTCTTAATGCTGTGCTGCGTTTCGTCATCTGAATCGACGCACCCGAGGTCAGTAGCTATGTCAAAAGACAGTCAGGACGTTCTGATATTCTTTATATGTCAAGAGACAGTCAGGATAACTCGATACAGTTCTACAGGAATAAACAGTTA